GCCACTGCGATTCCGAATGGAAGTCGAGTGCGGGGGCGCATCCCTCAGACGGGATTGAATAACGCCAAAAACTTTATCCTTTTTTTTTTAAACTGACCAATTGCCTACGAATTAGGTACGGAATAAAAGGTGGGTTCCCGTCTCTTACAACAAATGTGCCCTGACAAACGAAAACTGATCATGAACAACTTCCACTCAGCTATCTTTAATTTTATTTCGACTGGAAATGTGCAGGTTGGTAGTAGGTTGCGTGGTGTAGGGTAGCTATGTTGAGAAGTTTCGTGCACGGGGCTGCTCATCTTCTATCAGTTGTGAGACTTCAAAAAAGAAGAAGAAGGATGTTTCAAAATTACACACTAACTATCCTAAAGGATCAGATGAGCCGTCATAAGGTTGTGCTAACAGCTGTTAGGATACTAGTCAGGACTGTCGAGTGATTCCAGGTAGGTTGTCCGTTACCACAGTACGGCATAGGGTCATCCAATCATCGCCTGGTGGATTAGAGCGTCCCAAAGTGCTTGGAACTGCTGATTCGCAATGAGTATCCTTTAATTTAACAAGTCATAAGTTTGCAGTTCTTTTCCTTACAACAACTATGCTTTTGTTTGGGATCTGGACTTGGAGCCATTGAATTACTCAGAATACTTCTACCTCTTTGAATAAACTTTTCTGAAACAGGTTACCCCTCGATAGGGACTTCACGTTCCCAAATTGAAAGATAAACTGACTGACCGCATTCATTTGATGACTTTCAGGTCCAGCAATGAGAAAGAGGATGTTGTCGCACAGGTCAGCTTCCACTTTCAAGCCTCCACATACAGAGTCGGCGATCATTTTCATTATGAAGTTATTAGGCAGAAATTTGCCAGCTCCGAACATGTCGTAGTATACCTAAATTGAGCTATCTGGTAGAACAGCTTCCCCGGTACTTTATAGAATCTGTTTTTTTGGTTCCCTGCGTGAAAACATGGACTTCTCGACTGTGTTTGTATTCAAGAGTATTCCATTATGTGAAGGATCAAGAATTCCACACCAGTAACCCTTTTGATATTCTGGGGGATGGTCATAGGAACATTTTGGAACAGAGTAGTGTTTTTATTCTCTTAGAATACAAAATCAGAAGAAATTCCAAGGCGGAGTTCCCGTGGTATCAACTCGTCCGCGATCCAAAGGGTGCCTCATTTTCGAATGTTACTCCTCATAAACTATTTTTTCAGAAAATATTTCATGAATCACGTCATAGAGCAGCGAAAAAAACTGCAATCCACGCATTCGCGCTTCGTCAGCAATCAGTTATCACGATTTTGATAAGACGTCGAATGTCAAAGTAGACTAAAGAATGGCCGACCAGGAAAAGCAAGATGTGAAATCATAAAGATTCAACTTACGTCAAGTTCCAAACTGAAATCGTCGGCTAAAAACTTCAGCATTCCCTTAATGTGAGCGACAGAACCAACTGGTGCCAAAGCAAAGAACTTCCGTATCTGCAATGACACACAAACTACGTAAAAAAGAAATCAAAATTAAGATTGGGGCTTCGATGTTAAGAAAAATTCAAAGAACATGTGAAAATGGAGAACAAAGGTTGTTTACAGTCTATCTCTACTAGTAGAGCTAATCACTGGAGCGAAAATGAAACTCTCACTCTTCTGATGAGGCCAGGAGCAAGTGAATGTGTCGGTGCTCA